TCCGAAGCAGGCAGCCTGATTTGGGCCAGCCGCGCTCAGTCTGTCCCTCCTCAGAGACGGGCAGATTGAGCGGGGCAGATTGGACGTGGCTGGCCGGGGTTGAGTCGCCTCTTTCCTCTTGAGCAAAGAGTAGTGCCCCGCTGAAGCCACGGCGCTCAAATGTCCATCGTAAAACTAACTTTACCGCGGTTTAATGTGGCGCTATGGCTCTGCAGACATTGCACGTTGCTGTCTTGTTTTGTGGTGTTTTTAGTGTAAAATACTTCCACACAGCAGACGTTTCGATGAAAAGTTTGTTAGCCGTTAGCCACAATGTTGCTAACTCAGCCCTCACTTTGTAGCTGGCTGCAAACTATGAACTGGATTTCCTGAATGTGAGGTGGGTCTTATTACTCTGGGTTCATGAGACACGCCGCCATTCAAGAAATCCATTCCATAGTTTGAAGCCAACGTGCATCATGGATTGGAAATATCGGCAGGTGGATCGGAAAAATCCGCTACGTAAATTATGCCGGTATCGGAGGCCGATACTGGATCGGATCGGCCCCATCCCTAATGTAAACACAAAATTTGTCTGTGTCAACGCAGATCTTTTCCTCCAAGTAACATATGAAAAACCTACGTTTCCCCCCATCGTGTCCGTGTAAACAGGGTCTAAACTGCAGTAAATAAATACATACCTAAATACGCACATAAATACATACCTATGTAACCCTGACGTTTGGTTTGATACCAGCGAACTGATGGATCACTCACCCAGGAACTCTTCTCAGCTTCACACCATTTATTAACATGAACTTCATCTGTAACAGAAAACAACGTGTGGTTGGTGGTGGTCTGACATGTAGCTCCTGCCCCAACTCTGAGAACATCAGGCAGTAAAAAACTGCCGTCACGCAGCCTCCACTTCCAAAATGATGGGTGTTGTTGTGCAAGCAAACACAATGAATTATAGTATTAATATTTGCAAGTATTTTCAAAATAAAAGCTGTGAATTATGTCATATTTGCTGCCAAACTACACCATAATTTTTTAATGTCCGCTTGTGAATATGGATCCATAATATTTTTGCTTTTGTCACAGTTTTGTGTGGTCATTTGGTTGTTCAAGGGCTGGGCGATATGGACCAAAATATTTTCTTAAAATAATATTGATTTAAGATAAATAGTGATATATGATATATATATCTCAATATGTTTTTCTTTCCAAAAATTAATAACAAAAATATATTTGAGTCAAAGCTTTGTCCCAGTTGTCACACAGGCACATTTATTAACAAACAGCTGTAACTGTACAAAATAAATGTCTAAAAAATAAATTATTTACATATATTAAATAATAATCCTCTTCAGCTGTGCTGCCTTCACGACGTTAGTAAGTTTGTGTAAAGCAGCACGTGAGGGGCTGTGTTTCTATTCAGTGAGGGAGGAGTTTCTTGAAACTGTCCAGATGACCTGACTGAATAATGTTGGATTGTAAACCTGGATTATTGAGCATGGACTTTGTTGTTTTCAACCAGTTTGACAAGACTGTCAACAAGGAAGTGGGCTGGCAATGGAGGAGGGGGCGTACCAAAGAGACCATCTTATCACAATCAGAACTGGTTTGTTCCACTTTGGAGTAAGCTGTTGGGGCAAGAATCAGTTTTGTTGTGTGTTTCCTTGACTGATGAAGCCTTCTGGATTGAAGGCGAAACGTTTCAGCACAAAAAAAGAAACTGTCCAGATGACCTGACTGAAAAATGTTGGATTGTAAACCTGGATTATTGAGCATGGACTTTGTTGTTCTCTCTGACATTTGATTTGATCTGATTTTACCAGGTGAAATGTTTGAGAACCAGTTCTCATTTACAAACAGGACCCGGCACGTTCCAGGAGTTCTTCATTCAAGCCTCAGAGCTGCTCGTGGAACCATTTCATCATCATCATAACCTTTATTTAACCAGGTTTGTCCCATTGAGATCACAAGAGCTCTTTTACAAGAGAGACCTGGTCAAGACTGACAGAGAGAGGGGAAAAAAACAGTCAGTAAAAAACACAGTTACAACACATAGTCAGAATAAACATAGACTTAAATAACAAACAACTCAATGAAAACAATTAAACTTCTGCAACTTCAGTAAAAAGGATCTATCATGGTATTAAATACATTCAGAGATACTAATGTTCCAAGTTTAAGCTTTGATTGTAAACTATTTCATGAGGTTGGAGCAGAAAAGCTAAAGGCTTTCTTGGCCCTTTCTGTTCTGACACGAGGATTAAAATAAACTAAAATTTAAAAAGTCTTGAGACCGGAGGCTGTAGGTCGTGTTGTTTAAAGTTAACAAAGATGAAAGATAAGGTGCTGTCAACTTAAGAATAGTCTTGTAAATCAAAACATACCAATGGTCAAGCCGACGTACATGCAGAGACGACCATTTTACCTTTTCATACAAGAGACAGTGATGAGTTAGGGCTCCATAATTTGTAATAAACCACAAAGCGCCATGATACACGCTATCCAGCATGTGACGACATTGAGCAGAGGCGTTCATGTATAATACATCACCATAGTCAATAATCAGAAGAAAAGTTGACTCCACCAATTTCTGTTTTACCCTAAAAGAAAAGCAGGATTTATTCTGAAAATAAAATCCAAGTAAAAGCTTCAGTTTATTTACAGTAAACTGAATATGAGCTTTAAAAGACAATTTGTCATCAATTAAAAATCCCAGATATTTGAATGAAGATACAAGTTCAATTTGTTGACCATCACTAGTGGAGATGAGAGACTGGTTTGACCTTGATGATTTCTCACGTGTCTCACCAGATCTGCTAAATAAGTTAGAAATCTCATTGATCTGAGTTAAAATGATTCTTTATTTATCCTTTACATTCTCAAATGATGTTATGAAATTAGTGATTGATTTGAGTCAAAGTCTCTAAAAGTAATATTTGTAAGTAAATCTGTCTTTAGGAGTCGACCTATTCAAGATGGCCACCACAGCTAATTGAACCAAAAATCACAAGTACTGAGTGTGTCAGATACTGAACTGCAGCTGATGTGGCAGTAGCTGAGAGTCATCCTCAAAACATATTTCAAGAGGTAACAGATCACAAATGATCTCCCACAATAACCTGAGATTGTTCATAAGGTCATCTGTACAGTTTGACTCAAACGCTCAAACTACATCCACTATGACCAGATGTTCTGATGAGTTCAAGGAATGTTACACCTTCATCTCCTTCATACTTTAATGAATTTACACTATTTTACAATTGTTTAGATCAGTAACTCTCACCATAAAGCTGTTATTAATATGTGAATGTAAAAATGACTCAACCATTTCAAATGATAAACGTCATGTGGACGACATAAAGCTGCTTCCTGTAACTTCTTCCATTTCATAAAGAGCACTGAAGATGATTTCTCTGTGATGATGTCACGATCAGTGTGTTTTCATCATGATTTCATGGATCTTTATGTTTCAGATCACAAGTCATTTCTCTTTGGATCATTATAGTTTTGTTCTTTGATTATTTAGTCTCCCTGGAGGCCGTGCTCCAGGTGGGTTTGCAGAGATCACATGGAACAGTTGTTGCACAAATCAAACACAATTCAAGTCACATTTAAAAGTGACATCATCATAATGATGTCTATTGTTACATTTAATAAGAAAAATAACATTTCAAACCTCACACTGTCACATCCTTCTTTAATAAGAGCCCACTTCATTTTATTGTTATTGAATAAAAATCTACATGTTGGATGTAAAATATGTGTGTAGTTTTAAAATATAGCATACTTTATAAAAATATAATTACAAAGAGCTCTGGTAAAACATGAAAGTGCGAACAGAACTGCTCCTGCTGAAGGCAGAGCCAGCCACCATGAAACTGTGATACAACACTCAACACATCATACAATCTAGTACTTGTACACAAACTGAGCTGACACTTGAACACAAGTGGACATCATGGGATGCATCGTCACAACAATAGAGCCACTGGATGGTTTGATTTGATTGTGGAGTTCTGTTCATCACAAACCAAACATGGACCCAACTAATGAAGTAACATGGAGCCAGACAAAACACTCAGAAGAAACATATTACAATTAAATACGACATATTTTACATTCACACAGTAATACTTTGCAAAGCTGCAGTAGAAACGTAGTTTTTGAGGGAATTGTGTTGCTGGATCCACATTTATCCAGTCAGGTCGAGTTCTAGTGTTTAGTTTTATACGAAGAACATTTCTGACTGGATTTACCTGCATTTTGACCTTAAAGCTTCAAACACATCATTGTTTGATTTATTTACACACAATTCTCTTGAAGAGTCAAATGTGATTGTGAACTTTATCACTTATTTGAATCACATTCAGCCTTTTCATTTCTCAGCTCAACCAATCAGATATTATTCGTCTCCTCTTCACCTTCTTAACAACCTTTGTACTTTAAAATATTATTATCTTCAGAGTGAACTATTTTTAGTCACTTCCTTGTTGGACAATAATGCATAAGTCTATTAGAATGTTGAAATCAAACCTTCAGGACCAAACCTGATGCAGTCAGTATCTGTTGACCCATTCCTCTTTACTTTATGATTTCCAGTTTGGATCTTTCAAACCTGATGCTGGAATATCAGGAAAGTCTTCATCACTTCTCTGGCAATCTAAAAAATATAGAAACCATAAGAAAAGGTACAAACAATAAACAAGTAACAAAAGCTCCACACATGAAGTTTCACCAACTTTCCAGTGAACAACTACCACAACAATGTCCCAGCAGATATTTCCATCCTTTTGGAGCGGCTGGAGCACGACGCCTCCGTTCTATTTAACGTCACACAATCACATTTTTCTGACGCGCTCTCCTTCAGTTCAGCTCAACTCTGTTGCAGCTTTTAATAGAATCAGTAAATATTTGAAACTAATTGTTCAAGAAACACAAGTTGTAGGAACTGATTTGAACATCAGCTAAATATTCTAATTACAATTAAAAGAACAATTAATGAGCAACATTTAAATGAACTCTGACTGATTTATTTTCTATTAGACTTTAACAGTGAGTGTGAGAACTGACTGCATTTTAATAACGTGCACGTTTTCATCAATTGACTTAGAGAAATGTGGGTTTTTGAACAAATCAAAACCAATTAGTAGTTTGAAGGAAATGAAGTTTAATGACTCAGAAAATCTATTTGATCAAAGAACAGAAAGCTGTAGAGACATTTGATGTTTAATAAATGTAGCAGGACGACTTCAAGTGTTCAGAAACTTTGTAGGAGCCACAACACAAGGAACACGTGTCGTCCTTACACTGGCATGATGTGTCCAACTCAAGTTGTTACTAAATCTCTTTCAAAATGATCAGGAACAAGTTTGAAGATTCATTTAGTTTCAGTGAAAAACATTCATGTGTAATTTATGATGTTCCTGAATCAAACTTGAATAAAACGTGCACTCTGTCCTTCATGGCCATAACAGCAACTAAAATCATTTTAAAAGCAGCTCACCAGATATAATTCAGTGTTAGACTTTTCTCCTCTGTCTCTTAATAAATACTTACCTAAATGTTTTTGCAGCTTTTGAATCGTCTTCTGCTGAACTTGATCCACCAGAAAGACTGTGTGGTTCACAGAGTTTCTGCACAAATCAAAACATGAAACTTTAAATTAAAATGTTCTGAGAGAACAACAAGTATCATTTTTATGCAACTAACCAGAAACCTCCAGTGATTTTGGTCGACATGGACAAATAACACAAAGCTCTTGTAATTCTCAACATTTACCAGGAAAAACAAACACTTCATGTTAAAATGATATAAATGTCATTTCTGACATTAATGTACAATTTGAACTTTATTTTTCCAAATGGTTATTGTCACTTAAAAACATTAAACATATAAATGATTTTAAATGAAACATTCCTGTTTTTACTTGAACTATGTTGCATTTCAACGAGACAATAAATTTTCTGCACTAATGATGTGATTTCTGGTAAAGCCGTACTTACCCTCGCTGTTTCTACAACATCCTGAAGAACGAGCAACAAACACAGAAACTTAGGGACAATTCTATGGAAAATGTCCAACTTTGGAGGGCCTTTATTTTGAAATTCCACATGAGATCTTGGTGACATCTGGTGAGCAACATCTGGAGATGTTCTACCGTCAGCCTGAAGTGAGACTGGTCACTGGAAACTAAGAGTTTTGTTTTAATATTAATGGAAACTTCAGGGAAAACAATTGAACATTCTCACATCATGAACATACAAATAACCACAAAACAGAGACTAAAGTCAAATATTATGGATCATATTCACAGGCGGACATTAAAAATCATTTCTGAACATGGACCAGCAAGAATGACTTCAATCAACTCGAGTCAAAACATGAAAAACTCATTGGAGTTTTTTATTTATTTAACTTACAACACAAAAAGTTCTCTACTCTTTGGATATGGGGGCGAGATTGAAACTTTTTGTGGAAACAGCTGAGCAGGAATGTTGGTCCCGTTACAGCTTCCAGTGCTAACATGTGTTTTATGTCCAGAGTTTGGACCAACAGGAGACACACATCAGCTTTTATTTTGAAAGAACCTCGCAAGCGTGACTACCTGGTGGTGTTAGCGCGTTCACAACCAAACCGCGTGAGCGCTGACTTTTTGAAGTGGAGGCTGCTGGACCGAAGTTTAATATTGAACAACTTAACTAGAAATTACAACCATACCTGTTAGAGAACAAACATGTGGTTGGTGGAGGTCTGACGTGAAGCTCCTGCTCCTACACAGAAAAATAGAGACACAGTCACGAGACTAGATTATCCAAGCACGCGACGACACGTGGCTGCTAACAGCTACACATGCTAACAGCTACACATGCTAACAGCTACACATGCTAACAGCTACACATGCTAACAGCTACACATGCTAAAAGCTACACATGCTAACAGCTACACATGCTAACAGCTACAGATGCTAACAACTACAGACGCTAACAGCTACAGATGCTAACAACTACAGACCCTAACAGCTACAGACGCTAACAGCTACACATGCTAACAACTACAGACATTCACAGCTACAGATGTTAACAACTACAGACGCTAACAACTACAGATGCTAACAACTACAGATGCTAACAGCTACAGATGTTAACAACTACAGACACTAACAACTACAGATGCTAACAACTACAGACGCTGACAACTACAGATGCTAACAACTACAGACG